ACCAAAATAATGTTCATAGGCTGTCTTAACGATAGGTGTCATTTTACGTTTCTGAGCCTTAAATGTTATTTCACCACATATATAGCAAAAGCTATCGACAGAATTCACACACTTTCGAGGCATTTCAGATCAGCACTTAAATTAATTTAAAAATCAACTTCACACGATAATTTCAATAGCAACCACGTGCGTACAATTGACAAACTCACATAGGTTATGTTTACTACTTAAGAACAGCTGATGAGAGGGGTGTTATGTAAACAAACATGTGTACCAACTGTTGGTGATGAAATATTTCATTTGTTGAAAACTCAATATACATATATATAATATAATGATACTATATCTTGAAAACAAGAGCTAATATATAATTTTTATGGTCACTTTCGGTTTTAACACGTGGAAATACATTAAAATCATCTAATTTCAACCCCGAAACAAAAACTTTTTTGTGTTGTGTTACCTACCTGTATGATGTACCTGAATAGCATAAATAGCTTTAGTTTTGAGAATTTTCTAGTTTTATCTTCCTCCTGAAGATGATCACTTGGTGATCGAAACACGTGTCGAGGTGTAAAAATAACGATTTGGTGTTGGAAAAAAACTCCAGTAATATTCGCTAGATGATACCTAAACCCAGAAATGTTACATATATTGGACAGAACTCTTTGGATTTGCTATAGTTCTCAGTGGCCATGGGGAATCAAGACGTAATCAAAACATTCCCAAAAATGAATTTTAAATCTTTCTGTTTTGAATGTTATATGTCATCGTTGTGGTTGAACTCATGCCCTATCACCAGAAGATGGTTTGCAAATGTGGAATTGGTCTTCACATTCAAGAAACTCTCCTATGTTCCTATGATCTTTTATTCTTTGAAAAAAGGTTTACCCCGTTTGGCAGATATAAATTTTTGGACAAGAACCTCAAGTAAATTGATTTAGTAGACACTAAAATTATGTCTTTATTGTTATGAAAAAAAAATGTTGAAAAAAATCATTATTCCTTTTGTAAGTCACGTCCAAGTCTTCCTTAAAAAAATTATATTATTGGTGGGTTTACCAAAGTATGTCAATGTTGTGTGGCTTGTTTTCGAAATTTTCTGTAAAGAATGAGTCAATAATATCTACCTAGTAATCGTTGTTGACAGCAATTAGTTTCAATCTGAAAATTACTCTCTCACAAAATTATCCATAAAGGAATATAAAACAATAAAAACATAACTTCAGTGTATAATAGATCAGGAGTATATAAGTTGACTTGTGGTTATTGTCCAAAAATTTATATTGGCCGAACTGAAAAAACTTTATCAAAGTATGAAAAAACATAGAAGTGGTTTTTCGAATATGAAGACCAATTCTATATTTGCAAATCATTTTTGTCCTCTTTGTTAGAGATCTGTTTTTCGGTAGTCAATAGGCCGGTAGGTCGGTAGCCGGCCGGTTCGACGTGGGTGCTTTGTTCACTCTCCCAATCGACCGATGTGTGAGTCGCTTGTTCAAGCCGCAGGCTGAACGATCGATTTTCACTTGCTATCGTCCAACCCGTGTTAGGAATCACACGTTAAAATACCTCGGTAGTCCTTAGCTCGCACAAGTTTCGACTTCTGAGGGTTGTCGTTCGTAGGGGTGCGACAGCTTGTTAACGAAAAATATATTTTAACACCACTACTAATATTATAAATGCGAATGTAAGTTTGTTTGTTATGGTTTCACGCGAAAACTACTTAACCGATCATCATGAAATTATGTACATATGTTCTTGGAGATATTAGAAGTAACGTAGGATACTTTTTATAAAAAAAATATTTTTTATGTAAGATAAAAAATTGAAAATTATTTATTTTTGTTTCAGTAAAATATATTTTAACATTTGTTGTTGCAATTCAATACAGCATATTTTGAATTTTCGAAACTTCATCGTATGTGATAATTTTTTAAAATTGATAATCCCAGCCAAGCATTGAAATATAGTTCTCATATCGATTCATTTCTATTGTGCTGAAAATTATTTAATGGCATAAATGCCTGCGAAGCCGCGGATAAAATCTAGTATAACATATTTCAACATGCGGAAATCGGTAGTTAGTTAATTTCACGTCCATCTCTTGAGTTAGTGAAATTTCTTTCATAACGTTTGAATTTTGAATAGATTTATAACCAAACTCAGGTAGAAGCATGAGTTATTAAGTAGGTAAGTGGTCATATGATTCAAATTATTGCACAACACAAAGCACCAATTAGACAGAATTGAGTCAGTATGAACACGCCTAAGAAAGCTAGTGTATAATATTGCTGCGGATAATTAAAAATCTCACAAATGGAGTAATTTGAGTATAGTTGAATTCAATCTTAATCAACCATCCCCCTTGATATATCTTATCTCTCTACTCTCAAGACAGAGGCAGGTGAAATTGTTCAGCTAATCTCAAATCCAAGAAGGATAGTTGCCAAATACAAGCCCATAGAGTCTATTGCGACTGCGTTCTTCAACTAGTTAGGTGAAGTTTCCTATAACTTTCCTAAAAACGTTTCTCAATATACAGAAACTCATAAAAGTCATACGTGAATCAGCTTACGGGAAAGCAATCACAGCTTTCATACCTTCCACTGAAGATGTAGCTCAGAACATATCTATAGACTTTTTTGCAATACACTCTGTAAGGAATACTAAACTATATAGACCTGAATGACCTAATTAGCGTTCCGCATTATGCCAGCAATGTAAAGGGTTCTTCTCCATCATTGATAGTGATCTGATTTCAGAAAAAAGCATCACCTAGATTTCATGCACTGGCACCATTGTGTGGAGCAGGTTAGGTAATAAAAGGAAGAAATACGTGTAAAATTCAACATCATCATGCATCCTAGTCAATCAGTTTCCTTCAGAATGATTCCAGATTATACAATAACCATTTTGGGATCAATAGGGGACTGCGTCGGGCGTCTCAATCGTGTCCTCGGTTTATTTTTTGACTTCTCAGGACATCACTAGGACAAACTGAGGACTATGAGGGAGATATCAGCGATCACTTGTGACGTCATGCAATGAGTGAACTGTGATTGATTTTAGAGACTTTTGGGAACTGTTGACATCAACAAAATATTACCTGGGGAAAGACCACGCCATCTTCTGTATGAGAAAGTGACCAGTAATTCAGGATATGTTCGGGTGCTAGCATATAAAATGATGACAACATTAAAATATACCAAAAAAAATCATGTGAAGTATCTCTAGGTCTCCTAGATGCAGGATCTTCTAGTGTCAAAGAAATTGCTTTTATCCAGTCAGTCTGTTCTGTAGAACAGCATTCCTACCAGAACTCATGGATAGAATGAGAGATGCTCACGTTGAAATTATCTCAGGAACAGTTTATGATGTGACCAATGAATATGTAATCGAAATTCATCATTGTCAGGAAGTGAATGTTAAACATTGATTGGGATGAACTGAAGTGAATTTTCAGTGGAAATCTCATTGAAATCAAATGATAAACAAATGGAAGACCTCAGAAGAGGTATCACAAACTCCATAAAATATAAATTGAGCTTCCTTATAAGCTTTATCAATATCGGATTTTTGTCTAAATTTAAGAGCTTCACCAAAAAACTAGGTATTTCTGATGATTTACCTGTAGTTTCTTCCTGTACAGTGGCGTAACCTGTATCCATGTGGTTGTCTTCCTTTTCTAATTTTTTCTTTCCTTCCTTCGCTTCCATCAGTAGATGTATCAAATCACAACGCACAATGCCTTTTTCCTTCCTTGTTTTTATGGTACTATGGATGAGGTCGTGAAAGTATATCCTCTGTTTTTCTGTATACACCTTGATATTCAACATCTGAAGAATTGAAAATATTTTCGAGTGAAAAAAAAATTAAAATTGTTCAGATCGAAATTCATACAAATTATATTTTGATGAAAGAAAAAATATAATGCAGATTTCTCCTTAGGCGTACGTAAATAATTGTTTCAATACGGAAAAATGATACATCAGGTACGAATTTTCGCACACAACATGCTACTGTTGAAAGATGATGAAAACAAGATTCAATATTTTGCTCTACGGAAGAGTATAATATTGTTTATGTGAGTTGAAATTTCCTATTTCACACCTAGTGAAATAAGGAGCGCTAATATTCTATAATTTTTCAATGGGCAAATTCAGGATGAATGAAAACACGTTTCTGAATTTGTAGTTGAATTTAGCAAGATATGATAGATTGCTGTTTAGGATCGTATCAGTATTGGTTGAACGTTAAGCTCAACATAAATTTAGTAGATGACTTAGACAAACGTTTGCAGTTTTGTGAGTTATTCAGTGAATGATTGAAATATAATCCGAATTTTTTGTGAAACTTTTTGAAATTATAACTTCTTATGGGAGGGTAAACCGTTTCTTTACCTAACGCGTGATGGCGCCAGTTTGTCTGGCTTCCCTTCCTCTCACACATACGTCAGCGGAAGGTAGGCTCCTCCTCTCTCATCTGACAGACGATCAGTGTTTAGTGTGCGTTAGACATGTACAATGGACTGTATCATAAAAATCTAACCAGCAAGCACGACGACATAGCCACACCAACTTCAACTAGAAGAATTGACCTCTTACCTCTTCCACCTTACATAATTTCCCTCATCAAAAATAAGCTATACAGAAGTCAAAATAGAGTGGAACTAACCCAACTTCCGCATTTGTGTATTCATCAACCAATTCACTCAGAAAAGGTGAAAAGAGGTGACGAAATCTTAGGTTACCGAGACTGGATAGCTTTCTGGCATAAATTCATCACCTCGAGCTTGATGGCAACATCATTTCCAATCCCTCAGATAAATCAAAAACCTTCTGAGAAAATTTAAAACGTACGTTCCAGCTTCCGAAAAATATTCACTTCGACAACCGTCACTTGAACTTCGTACAACCACAAGTCGTCGCTCATCTGGGCAGACATCCCGATCAAGTTCATTTCGACCGAAACTGCCCCCTAAGATCCTCCTTCAGTGAAGAAGACATACTCCAAGCTATCCACCACGGAAATAATACTGCCCCTGGACCAGATTCTATTAAACGTCGAATTCTGAAAATCCTCCCCGACACATCTCATACACGTCCTGGATGCATGTTTGAAACATGCAAATTTCCCATCTGTTTGGAAACAGGCAAATACTATCCTTATCACCAAACCTCGAAAAGGCCCCTCCTTCCCTCTCATCCCCAAAGCCGGAGTCCCCCAGGGCTCAGTTCTTGCACCAACCTATTCCTGATCTATGTGCACGACTCTCCTTCCATTCAAAAGATCCTACAATATGCAGATGATATAATCCTATACACCTCCACCACCAGCACCCGTATCCTACAAACACAATCCCAAATAATAATAAACCCCTTTTAGCACTGGTGCTACTACAACATGTGGTGAGTCGAAATAAACCCCCTTGAAACCCAGACCATTCTATTCAGACACCGTAACACCACCACCCGTTCCAAACATAATACCGACCACTTGAACCTCAGACTGTTAGGAGAGAATCTCCACCTCCAAAACTCGGTGTGCTACCTGGATGTTACTTCGACGAGTACCCTCAACTGGGAGACCGACCTTGGAGAAACCCTGGACAGAGTCCGGAAAAGGGCCAATCTCCTAAAAGTGCTGAATGTCAAGCTCGGTAGATCTGTCTGCCTTAAAATCTGTTTTTCCAATAATCAGCTTCACCAGTGAAACTCTTACACATCTACAAAACCTTCATAAGACTGGTAATGGGCCACAAAGCCACGATCTACAGCACCCTCTCCCAAAGACAAATCCAGAGAATATTAAGAACCGAAAGAAGAATCTTGAAAACATCCATAACCTCTCATGACTTATATAACCAAATAGATATCACGACAATCAATTTGAGATTTCAGGAACTACAACACTTCGGCCATCCCATGGAAGCCCCGCGAATGCGCCCAAAGGATACCACGGAAAAAGCTCCCATTCCCTCAAGCCAGACTCCTGGGGTAAGTGGAAGATCCAACGGAGCAGATCCAGAATATTCTGGACGAATATCCATTAGCTATTCAATAGCGGAAGATAACGCCCTGGAACACTCTGAGAACTCAACTTGAAGACCAATCACACCACACCTGGCTCAACACAAACTTACTCCCCCCCCGAATAATGACCAGAGACACGGACGAGGACACTAGCACATATAGGATAAAATAATTGTTACCCAGAAGAGGCATAAGCCTATAGCAGGGCCCCAACTTAAACATAAAATAAATAACACTGTAAAATACTACCCCCCAAAAACGAATAAAAACATGATCAGGCAAGCACGTAATATTCTTTCATTATGTGAAACGTGGCTTGAAAAATATGATGATAGTTTTGTTGTGTCTGTACATTATTAGTAGGTATCATTATTTATTTCTACAAAAGTAACAATTGGCTTGAGGTAGCTATAATATATGTACATACACAAAATATTCAATAGAAGATTTTATTGATAAATAACCATTTCTTACATTATAATATTGATATACATGAAATTTAAGTATCACCTAAGCTTTTCTCAAATTGAACAATTTCAATAGTGAATAGTTCAACTTAGATTAGTTTAAGCCTTCTACCGGGCGAAGGCTTTACAGAAAACGGCCGAAGCGAAGCTCTCTGGCTTACAGAGACAGGCTTGTCTAACTATGAGTGGTGCCATCAGTACCACACCGTTAGCGGCCATGGAGATCTTTCTAGATCTACCTCCTCTCCACATTTTTCTGGAGAGAGAGGCTTGAGGGACTGCATACAGACTTGTGCACATTACCAATTGCACAAATCAATTCAATGCAGAGTGCAACAGACTGTTGGTTGACATTGGAAGTAATAGCACTCTAGAAATGACCTGTGACTTTATGCCTCCAACTGTCAACTACGAACTGCCTTATGAAGTACTACTCCCGAGTAGAGAGGACTGGATTCTCCGGGAGAAAGAAATATTAAGAGCAGATAGTTGTTGGTTCATAGATGGATCAGTAACATTTTCCGGTTCTGGTGCAGGTGTTTTTAGTCAGACTCAGGGCAGAGTTACCTACATTCCTACAATAAATCATGTTGGATAAATCCAACCTCACTCACAAGTCGATGAAAATATTCTTGGACAGTCAAGCGGCGTTGAAAGCTCTAAGCTCCTACCCAGCAAAGTCTAAATTGGTAGCAAACTGCCAAAAACGACTCTCCTCGATAAGAAGAATTAACGGATTTTCCCTGGTCTGGATTCCTGGTCATACTGGCCTGGCAGGCAATAAAGCTGCTGATTCTCTTGCAAAGGAGGGTGCTACAAGCGGCTTCATTGGACCTGAAACTGTCATTGGCATCGCTTTGGGCTTTGCTAAACAAACACTGAACACCTGGATGGCAAGAAGATTCATGAACTTCTGGCAGAATCTTTCAGGATTAGCTTACTAAAAGGCGTTTATTCACCCTTCGAAGCTTGATACCAAACAGTTGTTGGACAACAGTAGGGATGAAATACGATGTCTAACAGGCCTTCTTACATATGCAGAGACTTGGACTGTCAGAAGACAGTGTGTGTCGCCTCTGCCTGGAAATGGAAAACAGCAGAGCATATACTTTGTGCCTGCCCCGCTGCTCTCACCATCTGACCTGAAAGACCACTCACCATACAAACTAATCGGCTTCGTTAAGAAGCTTGGGTTTATTTGATCGAGTGTGAATAGGTGTGAGCCACAATAAACCCTTGTGGGTTGCGGTGGAGAGTCGAATAGACCCACTCACTTCAGACCTACCTACCTCTACCGGGCGCCCTGAGCCGCACACTTATTTTTCTGAAAAGGGTTGTTGATCGATGTTATTGTCCGATTTGGTTTATTGAAATTCTATATTTGGCCCATGAAATTCACACAAAGCATCTTTTGGAACTGAACACATGAGCTGGAATTTATGACAACTCTCATGTCGATACATAAAATGACAGAAGAAAATTCTAGAATGATGCATCTTCCCAATATACTCATACTGTTCGTCAGTATTTGAATAATACGATTTCTGGCAAATGATTTGGTAAAACCACTTTCTGCTTCGATACGTTTGTTGGAGGTTAAAATGGACACCAATATGTCTTGGCACAATCATGTCGCTGGAATTGCAGAAGCCGCTTCTCAAAAACTTCGGAATACCATTCCGAACCAGAAAACTGTACACACTTTTGTTATTTTATAAAGCTCAGATAAGACCTTCTTTAGAGTATCATTCACATGTATGGAGCCCCGCCCCACAGCACACCCTGAAGCTACTGGATTTCATCCAGAAAAGAGCCATTTGCCGGATTGAGATACGAACATCATTTGCAACTTTGATAGTTTAAAAAATCGACGAAGGGTTGAAGATTTGTCTCTCTTTTATAGATACTTTCACGGAAGGTGTTCGAGTGACTTGGCACATTTCATTCCACCAAGAGCGGTAAATAGAAGAAATACGCGACGGACGTTGGCTGCTCATCGTTGAAGTTCAACTCAATACACCTCGAATTTCACTGTTTAAAAACTCTTTCATTTGGAGAACTGCGTTGATGTGGGAGAAACTTTCAGAGAATATTTTCACAAATCAATTTAATCTCCAGCGATTCAAATCCAACGTGAATTGCACCGCCCTTAAAGAGACTGAAGGATTTTCTTGTAGTGCTTGTGTTTTTTCCTTAAAAAAAGTGGCCCATGTGGTTAGTTTCATTTATTGGTGAACACAATTTATGGAATTTACTCAGCACAATTCTGGTATCTGTAGAGTAGGGAGAACAACTCTCGAGGAGTTGTCCTCCTAGATCATGGTCATTCCTGTCCTTTCTGGGAAGGTGAACAGGTCACTGGGAGACATCTCCTTCATATTGGCAGGTGTAGGCCAAGACTCGCCGAACACACACTCTCTTTGGCAACCTTAACTTGTCTCACGGTGGCCTCCGTGAAGGTTTTGAAAGGTGCAGCGAAATTACTGTCGTTGCGCGGCTTATTCAATCTTCTTGGGGTTCCCTCCGTGGAGGTGCACAAGTGAGGGAGCTTTCCTGCAGGGGCAGCCGGTTCCTTTCCTTTATTCTGCTATGTCCAGCCTCATTCCAAGCGGTAGATTGGGGTGGACATTTCTGTTCATTGAAGTGTCTCAGCATAGTTATTGCTGACTATCGGAATTCGAAACTGAAATTCTACCGAACGTCTAAAACTGTTTTGGATAAAACATTTATCATGGATCATGGTCTGGTACACTTCTTGAAGGAAAAAGTAGGTATCAGGTGCCATTGAGAAAGTAGATAAACGCTCACCTTACATAACCTGGGGATTATGAGATATCCATATAAAGCAAAATTTTTCCAGAATCCAGTGAAATCTGTCATCGCTTTTCCCATTCGAAAAAAATGATTATTTTCATCACTTATTGAATCAACTTTCAACCCGAAAGCACAAGAAGCTATAACATCATTTGCGAAACGAGAAAAGAAACTGATTGCTTCTATCTTCTCAGAACTCTTCTCCAGTAAACATTTGACAAAATGTTCGGCAGTTTCTGATATCAGGTGAAACATCATTTTCATTTTGGAACTGGTGAATGAAGGGCTCAGAATTGGTCTCATTTCTCTCCATTTTTCACCTATAACAAAATAATTCAAACTGAAGGGGTTATATTTTTAGGAGTGATTAAATTTTGGGAAATAAAGTTTTTGGTTTTCTACCACTCCATCTTGATACAAAAAAATTCTACACATCCATGTATAGAGTTACTTATTTTCAAATTGATGACTTCCTTCCTTTCTTTGAAAGATTCCCTCATCCTTTTTTTGTATCAAGATGGAGTAGTAGAAAGCCAAAAACTTTCCCAAAAATAATTCAATAATTTTCAATTATGAATGGAATGACTCGTTACTTGAGAATAGTCACACTGTCCGTGATAACAACTTCAACAAAAATGTGTCATTCTAGAATGAAACATTTTTGAGAGATTAGTTAAATTATTATTATGGTTAGTGATACTTTTGATTTCGATCATAACAAACTGCTACTACACAACGTACCAATATCAATAATGTTCCATTTCATTAGCTCTGACTTCCATTGTCTAATATGATATAAATTGATTTGGAATCCCTGAAAGAATCTGTAGAAAAATTAAAAAAAAATGAAAAAGGTCAGCTGAAAACAACAATTATATAAAGCAAAAAACTGAAATCAATCAAGCAGAACACGACCAACTCCCGCCAAACCGTCAGTTTCCGTTAAAACCGATGAAACGGTGAGAGGGAAGAGGGGATAAGTGAAAGCACTCGAATGACCTATAAATAGTCAGATCTCTGAGGAATAAGTGCAGTTATCACCCGAAGACGATTGTGGATACTAATAATAGAAACGTCGTGAAATTACTTGGTTTGGTATCTTTGAATTTTTGATTTTCATTTCTCGTTAATAGTTTTTCAATTTTCATCTCGTGTTGATAGTTCAATTTTTTTTTATTTTTTGATTATTGCTTGTATTTTGTGTCATTGTAATTTCAGTTTTTTTGATTAATATAATTGTTATTTTCAGCTAACATTTTTGATTTTCTTACAGATTTTTCTAGGGATTTCAAATCAATTTATACCATATCTGACAATGAAAGTCCGAACTGATGAAATGCGCCATGAAACATTGTCAACCACCTTCAAACAATATTGTTTCAGTTTTGATATAGAATACGACTCAATTCTGTCGAATGGTAAATAAACTCGTTGCTGGTTGAACGTGCTGATCTCAGGACAATGGGGGACATCGATGTTTTAGATTAAGACACTTGTCTTATCGCCTCTTCAGCATCAATCTGGATTTTATTACAAGATGAAGCAATCAATTCATTCATAACGTTAAGATTCCATGTCACGGATGAGCTGAATATATTCATATCACGATAGTAGTACGTAATAGGATTCATTCGCTTGATTGATTCAATCCCAGTCGAAGGAATCTTGTTTGAATTGAAAAACGGTATAAGAGAGGTTAATTTTGGGAATGGATGATTTTGGCTTCTTACTTCCTCATTTTGATACCAAAAAAAATGTGGGAATCTTCCAAAGAAAGGAAGAAAGCAATTGATTTCGAGATAAACTCTTCAAAAATATGTATTTATCATGCATAGAAGTTACTTTCAATCAACTAAAAGAATAAAAGCACACTCGTAACGACATATCTGTATCATACAAAATAAAAATCTTTCGAAACAACTACTTCTATGTGAACATTGAATTATACAAAAAATACTTTTTGTATTCAGTTTGTACTTCAAAAACATTCATTCATTATGGAATCGAATCAGATATAATCAATAGGATTGCTACCTAATGTAGTATGAAGATAATGTTCGACATTGGAGGTAAAATACGGCGGTACTGGATAATTTTGCCAAATTTCGCAAATTTGGATTTAGATTCTTCTTCAAAGTTGACTTTGTACCGGGAGTTACTTTTACCATGGAAGTGAATGCAAGCGCTCTTCGGATGTGAAAAAATCTGGGAATACGTAGACTAACTCTGAGCAACTTTCAATAAATATGGTTTCTCGACTCATTAAAGTTACAATTTTTCAACCAATAAACCTTGGTTTTCAGAAGGTTTTCCGCGAATAACTGAAGAAGGTAGTTCTATCGAAAAAATAATACCTAGTAAAGATGGCGGTGACAATATTGGATTTATGGTGTCTGGAGACTCAGTATAAATGAGGCAATAGCTTGTTGATAATTGGTTCCCATTCATCTAATGAAAAATTTAAAACTTTCAATGCATATCAAACAAGAAATGAGGAAATGTACATAATTTCAAAAACACAAATGTTTTCAGAACACACTCCAGTTTGTGTCAGTGAATATTCGAATATTTTTTCAAAGACAAAGCATAAGCACTACAGGAATATCCCTGAGGGGCCTTAAGAGCGGTGCCTGTGCGAAAGGAGCGATTCACATTGGATTTGAATCGCTAGAGATTAAAACCATTTAGAAAAACGTTCTTAGAAGTTCATTCCACATAAAGGCAGTTCTCCAAATGAAAGAGTTCTTGAACAGTGAAGTTCGAGGTGTAGTGAGTTGAACCTCAAAACGATTAGCAACCACACCTGAACACTTTAGTTTCCTGAGTATTTTCGTATTTTTACCAACACCAAACCGTTATGTTAACACCTCGATCACCAAGTGATAATCTTCAAGAGGGAGATTGAAACACGTGTTGAGATGCTAAAAAAACGGTTTGGTGTTGGGAAAAAACTCCAGTAATATTCATTACTACATCAAAGGTTTCAAACAGTGCATCACGTTTACACTTTATGTTACATTTCAGTGATATGAAGTAACTGCCCATCATGGCAGGCCAGCTTGAAAGTGATCAGATAGAAGGTAACCATATCGGTGAATAGACAAGTGTGGTCTCTTTGAATGGCTCGCTGAATCATTCGATATGACACACCTAGATGTTTTTAAGGAGATACGTGACTTGTAATGCAGTTCATTTCAAAATGGGTCCTTGCAACGAAATTACGTTAGGAACTTTCCATTATGTGAGAAATAATTTGTGACCTGAATTCATTATCATTAGAAAGAGACTGGTTAACATTTTGAACATTCACTGGAATGAACTGGGGTGAATATTGAATGATTTTTTTCCCAAAGTAGGGATATTTACCTTTTTTCTGTAGATTTACAAAAAAATTAATGGAACTGTCAATTACTCAGGAGATGATGATCTGATTTCCAGAAATCAATCGATAACGGATAGAAAATAAGAGTACCTACCAAACAAAGTAACACGCAATGTTTCTCAACATTTGAAAAATTATTTTTCTAGCGCCGCGGCAAATAACAGGTTAGGGTATATGTAAATTTGTGCTATCGTATCTTGAACTGTAACACTATTCAACAACACACTACTAAAATAAGTGTTTTATCATCATGACCCGTTGCTTGATGAAAATCAATAACACTGTCCATGATGAAAAAATAAACAATTCTCACAATTTTTTTCAATCCTAGACGCATTTTGCTAACACTATAGCTTCATCGGTATATACACAGTGTGACATAAGTACGGTAAAATATTCAAGTGACGTATTCCTGAGATAATTTTGAGACAAAAAGTCTTCAAGAACTTGTGTCCAGAAATGCTTCGTTTCGAAGATGCGGGTGTTGGAATTGAATTTTTCGTTCGTTTTTCAAAAATAACTTTTACAAAATATTAGTTATTTGCAAGAAATTTAGTATCCGAGGGTTTTTTGACGGGTGAAATCAAAATTTCGTATTAATTTTTATGTAACATCTAGATGTCGCTGCATATACTGTTATAATTCATTTCAAATTGCCCTAATTTTTTTGACAGTGAACTTTTGGTATTTTTCATGAAAAAACCTGATTCTCACACATTTCCCAGGTAAAGAAGTGGAGTTGCTGAGAACATTACAAAAACTAAGTATGTGGGGATCTCGTCAAAATAAATAACTTCCTAACATAAAATGGTAATCGAAAAATAACTCGTTTTCGAGATACAAATTGTTGAAAGTTTTCAAATCATGGTTGGTTTTTTAAAATTTTAGTTATTTTCATCGAACATTTTATAGAAAAAAGTTTTTCATAGACGCGAAACGCGTGTAGAATTGTTGTTTAATTATTATCATGAATAATGAGGGTATCATTGTTAGTATTTGAAAATGAGTTGAGAGACATGTCCTCTATTGGCGGCATCAAGCGACATTAAGCTCATCAGCTTTTATTTGCATAAAAGTATACAATGCACGACTGTTCTTGATTTTCCTGATTGAATACCCACGCAACTTGAGGCAACAATTGTTTTATCTGGGTATTTATTTCAAATAATCTGAATATAATGATATACAAACATAAACAGAGTACAAGGTCGGAACGTGCATGTCTGCATGGCAATCAAGAAATGTATTTATAGATATTGTTAGTAAACATAATTATAACCGCAAGATTAATTTAGTTGCAATGATATTCGACTATCAGCAGATAGTAGTTTCGGAAAATTGAAACTATTTACAAATTATAGAATTGGTTGAAACGGATGAATTCTTTTTAGTATTCTTGACAATATCTCTTTCAAAATTACGGTGTTCCAGCAATTTTTCATAGTGAGAATTCAATATGATACAAACAATAACGGCAAAATCTTGTTTAATTATGAAATAATTCATTAATCCGGGAATTAGAAACTCACATTCACTTCCGAAATTGTTATTGCAGGAGTACAAGTAAGCAGTGGAATGCTTTGGAATTACGAGAACGGTGTCTGTGCAAAGTTACGAATAATGTTAACTTGACGACTATTGGTCCAGTTGTCTTGATCAAAATGAGGTAAGTATCTCGGAATTCGAGATACTCTGCTATAAACTCGTAGAAACTTGTATTTTGACATCCTGAAAGTTCCATCGGAACCTACACATCAAAGTCTGAGGTCAAAAGTCATAAAACTCGTTTAATACTCATTTTTTGCAAATATCTGATCAGCTGAATGAAAGGATCTTCAAGACCATTTCCGAAACTTCACCTGGCTAAAACAGTTCTGATGATTCATCAACTTGTGCTTCTGAAGTCACGAAAATTATTTTATCATCCATGGATGCATATATTTCTTTTTTAATGAAACGACCTTGTAACAGCAATCCTTGTTCCATCAAAAATTGTTGCGAACGAACTATCGCCTCCAAAAATGTCGCTTACCGGCAGTGGCGCAAAAACCCCAGTGCCGAAAACCGAACTAGGTTTGTTAATGCTCGCAAAAGCTGCAAGCTTAGGATAGATAGAAGCAAAGAACTTCACAATCAGAGAATTAGGGATAAACTGCTTGCCAATCCCAATGGGTCGTGATCCTTCTGGTCGGTAGCTGAAGCTGTCAATCAGAACTTTGCAAAATCTTCAATTCCACCACTAAAACACGCGGGTAGTTCAATTGCAACAACAGCCATAGAAAAAGCGAATCTACTAGCTGAATAATTTGCGTCCCACTCCACAGTCCATTTTCTGGAAAATGCATGACCCACTATTCCCACAGTAGAATCCACAATGCCGAAAATTACTTATCGACAGCTCAATATCAACAAACCGTCTAGCTCTGATGAAGTGCCCGTCATCGTACCTAAAAACTGCGCAAATGAACTCGCACCAGTATTTTGCAGACTTTTCAATCTATCCTACAAGAAAGGGGTTTTTCCTTCTTGTTGAAAGATTGCTTGCGTTCAGCATATTTCCAAAAAAAAAAAATCTTCCACATAACTATAAACCAGTCGCTTTGCTATAAGTTATCTCTCGAATACTTTCACCATCAACGCTGGTGGTTTCTAGAGATCCATATTGTCTCCAACCCTCTTTCCATTGTATATCAACGACTTATTGGAAAATTTCAAAAATCCAATATATTGCTTTACTGACGACAGCATATTTGTCTCGTCATTTCATTTGGATTCCAGGACATCGGCTACGGTGGCACATCTTCACCGGCAGCAGGAAGTTGCATATCTTGATGAGGATCTAGAAGTGATTTCGAATTGGGATGAAAGTAACCAGGTTACATTCAATGCCACAAAAACCCACGCATCGGTTTTCTCCAAGAAAATAAATGTCTCCGAACCGGATATAATGATGTCAGGTCAGACAATTCTGTTTTCTGCTTGGATAAGTTCACTGAGGGTTGAAATAGACACGAATATGTCCTGGCACAATCATGTCGCTGGAATTGCAAAGACTGCTTCTCAAAAGCTTGGAACACTATTCCGAAACAGAAAACTATACACAGCTCAGCAACTTTTAATGCTTCATAAAGCTTGGATTAGACCTTTTTGGAGTATCGTTCTCATATATGGAGTTCCACCCCTTAACATACCCTGAAGTTACCCAGAAAAGAGCCATCCGCTTGATTGGAGATGCGAACATCACGTGCAACCTTGTAGATAATGACAAATGAGATTTTGTCGAAACGTCGGTGAAATTAGAGATAATATCACATACACGAATCAAATACCCGAAAAAACCAGTTCAGCATAGTCCTATCCGTGAAAACTTCAGATTTAAGATTCGATACCTTAACGGTGAGATGAGGTCAACTAAGAAGACGAAGAACTCAGGTAAAACTCAACAACATTTGAGTAGTACCTAGAGAGTTTATGGACACTCTATCTCTGAACACGAAACGAATACCATTTTACCAGTATAGTAAGAAGTGAGTCGAGCAGGGTCAACTAACTCCTGAACACGTAACAGTACACCTAGATAATGGCAAATGAGATTTTGTCAAACGTCGGTGAAATTAGAGATAATATCACATACACTGATCAAATAATCGGAAAAACCAGTTCAGCATAGTCCTATCCGTGAAAACTTTAGATTTAACATTCGATACCTTCGATGAGGTCAACTAAAAAGAAGAAGAACTCAGGTAAAACTCAACAACATTTAAGTAGTAGGTAGTAGAGTGGTTATGGACACTCTATCTCTCAACACATAACGAAAACCATTTTACCAGTATAGTAAAAAGTGAGTCGAGCAGGGTCAACAAACTTCTGAACACGTAACAGCACACCTAGATAATGACAAACAGGATTTTGTCGAAACGTCGGTGAAATTAGAGATAATTTCACATACACGGATCAAATACCCGAAAAAACCAGTTCAGCATAGTCCTATCCGTGAAAACTTCAGATTCAACATTCGATACCTTAACGGGGAGATGAGGTCAACTAAGAAGAAGAAGAACTCAGGTAAAACTCAACAACATTAGCAGTTAGTCAGGGAGCATACATTTATTCTTATACATTTCAGGTATGGTTTTCTATGGAACGGAAGATTCCCATTACTATGATGTTAAATGAATAAAATGAACTTGTAACTGAATTACATTGTTAATATCCTCTGAATAAAGATCTTTAAAGGTAAGGTAGTGTTTTTGAAAGGTCACATAAGAGCAGTTTGATCTAGTGCTAAATTGAAACGTAACAACTTCTTTGAAAATGTAGGTTGGGCACACTGACAAACCAGATGTGTCCCTAGCTGTGACGAAAAGTTCGTCATTAATAAATGACAATTCTGTCGATTCCATAGTAAATAAACGAACAATATCTACAATATTTACAAGTAAATTTAGACCGTTACAAGCTGTTACTGCGGCTTCTCCCGCATAGAAAAATGATTTCTCAAATTAAATTTCGTGACAGATCATTTTGAACAATTAGTTACAATATTTTTTTATCAACCCAAAAGTTCAGGTTACCAACTTCAAATCTGACGAAATTCAATACAATCTTCGAACCCCTATTTTTTCCCTCGAGGTGGAAATACCTGTTTCCCTTTCTTGGTGCTAATCTATGCTATACAAAGAGCCTACCTGCATATTTCGAAATTCGAGGTTCAGAAGCTTCGGCTGTACGTTAATATAAGAGAGTCAGTCAATCAACAGGTACCCACTTATTCAATACTAGCTGTCCCCCCCTGTTTTACCCGCGTTACCGTGGAAACCTACACTGTGTGTTATTACAGGTCATGATCTCTCTGTGTACCAAATTACATTTGAATTCGTTGAGCTGTTCAGGTATGAAAAAGTAATGTAAAAAACGTAAATACATACATTACATTCGTCCATCCCCATATGAAATTCGTAAGAATAGGATTACTAGGATTACCAATATTTTATTCTAATCCTTTCAGTTTTTTTTTGCTGATGTTATTCAATATTGTATAAGTGGGTGTCTGTTGATTGACTGACACTCTTATTAACGTACAGCCAAAACTACTGAACCTAGTATCTTGAAATATGCAGGTTGGTTTTTTGTATAGTAGGTTTTTTGTATATACAAAAGGATCAAATTGATACGTCATTATTTTCGTTCAATATTTCATTATAAGGTGAGTGGATCAAAAATTAATGAATGAAAAAGACCATAGAGCAGTAATATTATCATTTTTGCAAAATTGGTCCCACATAATTATTGTTGTTTTCATAAAAAATAAATAGGTTGATAATAAATGCATTTTTATGAAATAAAAATATTTTTCAGAAAACGATTTTTTTCCTTCAATACATCAATCTCAAAAAATCTTCGTTTCTCATGAACATTACGATTTTTATTTACGATCCTTTGAAGAATTCGAATGAGGAATGAAAAACATTGATGTTGGGAACAGAACAATAGGCACTTTTTCAATGATTCATATCTGTTTATCTGTTTCTGTTTTTCCGTAAATTAGCTGTCGCCCCCATAAGAATGCCATGTCTCAGAAGTTGAGAAACTTGTGCGAGCTAAGGACAAACGAGGTCTTACCTTTCAACGCGTGATTCCTAGCACGAAATGGAAAATTAAAATATTCCAGCGAGAATGTTTTCTGAAGCAGTTAGAGAACTCGGAAAAATACATTATCTCCATTTTTGACTTTAATTGGTTTTACTATAATTTTTTTCTGCAACTTGGAACATACTACGGAATGAATGACACCTTGATAATAATTTTCTGTGGAGGCAAACTCTAAATTTATAAAATTGCACTAATGTGCTAGACTATAATCAACAATTTGACATTGAACCAACAGCTAATAATCTTCAATAAGATGTATAATTATATATAACGGAAAAATTAATATTTTGGAATGAAATTTTGAAACATTCATCTCTCACAGTATGCCGAAAAAAAATTATTTTCCAAGGTAGTACCAGACTGGAAATTGAATTATATCCGACAGATATCCACGTGAAGAAGTAGTGTAAAATTTAACCTCTCTATGTGGGTGAGTCCCAAAGTTCTTCATAGTATTTCAATGATGGAGAAGTAGGAACTCAAAAAACTTCTTTTCCAGAAAAGGAATCCCTCCTGAAAATAACTCTTATCAAACTGGAAGGGATTTAACTTCTGAACTCCAATTTCATTTTGTAATATCAAACGCAGTCGACTCAAAATGGAATAGCTTGTCATCCATGAGAAGAATTAGAATAACGTAAAATTTTCAGGAAAAGTATTAAACCGAGTCAAACTTCACAACCAATTGAAGGAGTATTTGAGTCACAGAAACCATGTCGGGCCACAATATGGTATTGTGACCTATTCTATCTTCCGAACAGCATGAATCATATTATTATTTTGTCACATGTACTCATGAATTTACACTTCATAATACTAGAGATCTTGATGATCTTTCTTTCACAGATTTAATTTTTTTTGGATGCTGTGAAAAGTTATATTTATACATATCGAAATGAAACGTACCTACTACTAGTTATCTGAACCATACCTGAAAGTGCAAAAAGATTCTTGCCCCATAGAGGATCAGCTTCTTCCGGAATGTAAACTCTGTGATCAGGAAAATAGTCGAAATCTTTGACAGCAATTTGCTTGATCAACTGTGGATCTTTCAAAATCAGAGTTGGTGTCAAAAATTGATACAGTCCTGAGTACCTGTAATAATAATGAAAAGTCATGAAATAGATTTATTTCTATTTCTTACTCCTTTCATACAGAGATCAATGCAAATACAGTACGATGAAGAACTAGTTAAATTATAGTAACAAATTTGAAACAAAAACAAAAAATATATTTATATACAAAACATATAGGATAATTGTTTGAACAGTAGTTTGTTTTAATGAATAATTGTTTTCACTAGTGATTCAAGAAAATTTTTGCAAAATATAACTCATTCGTATGAATTTCTTCATGACGAGAATTTTTAGCAGAATCTGACTTTGTTCTAGCTGAATTGAAATTATTTATCTGCATAGATATTAATTCTGAAATTCTATGCGGAAATTTCGATAACTTTTGAATTGATTAAAAAAATTGACAAATCTTCATTTCAACTACAAAGAAGTGCTACAAATCATCATACACAATAAATTAACTGAAATATGTCGTTCACTGCAGTGCAACTAATTGAAAGCCAGATCGCATATACAACATATTGATGATTCAACACCAGAGCTGTTTCAACCCGTCATAGGTCTCATAAGAGGTGCCACAGTGAAAGATACAGTAAAAGACATCGACTTTCGAAGTCATACCTCGGCTTTCACCTGACCGCCTTAGGGAGCCTCGTTTATTTTTGATATTGGAAAACTGTCTGTCAATCACAAAGTTATGATCTTCGTTAGGGGAGATATCATCAGCATTACTTAGGTTAGGTTAGGTCCAGAGTAAGTGAGTCTATTCGACCCTCCACCTCAATCCGCAAGGGTTTATTGTGGCTCACACCTATTCACACTCGGCCAAATAATCACAACTCATTAACGAAGCCGATTAGTTTGTACGGTGAGTGGTCTTTCAGGTCAGATGGTGAGAAAACGGCTCTGCCAAATTCTAAAAACCTGATTCAAATGACAGCGACCTGTGAGAAGGCCTGTAAGACATCGTAGTGCATCCGTACTGTAGTCCAACAACTTTTTGGTATCAAGCTTTGAAGGGTGAATACACTCCTTGGAGTGAGTCAATCCTGAAAGATTCTGCTAGAAGTCCAGGAATCTTCTTGCTATCCTGGTGTTCAATATTTGTTTGGAAAAGCCTTGAGCGATGCCAATGACAGTTTTTGGTCTCCGATAAAACTGATTGCAGCACCCTTCTTTTCAAGGGAGTCAGCAGCCTCATTGCCTTCCAGGCCAGTATGGCCAGGAATGCAGACCACAGACAATCTGTTGAGTCTTCTTATCGGGGAGAGTCGTTTTTGGCAATTGGTTACCAATTAAAATGTTGCTTGGTAGGAGCCAAGAGCTTCCAATGCCGCTTGACTGTCCTAGAATATTTTTATTGACTTCTGTATGAGGTATGATTCTCCCAATTTCTTTGCACACAATTCAATAGCGTGAATTTTCGCTTGAAATACAGTAGCATAGGTTCTTAAGCAGGTTGATATGTCTGTCCTGAGTCTGTGACTGAAAACACCTGCACCAGAACCAGAAGGTGTTTTCGATCCATCATCTTCTCTTGATGTTTCCTTCTCCCGGAGGATCCAGTCCTCTCTATTCGGAAACAGTATTCTATGAGGCAGTTCGTAGTTGACAGTTGGAGGCATGAAGTCAATATTACTTACTCAGGCTTGTATTTGATGGGCCGTTGAATACAGCAATGCATTTGTGGTTCAGCCTAGCATCATGATGATGCATTGTGTATGGACTCTGGTTTTCGCCTTGTTGCACTGCAGTAAAAGCTGCAGAAGATGAATCTTGTCAGTGGTCGTATCGACTAACATTGAAATTAAGCGAATTTCATTTTTGAAATGATTTGCGGCACTTCAATGAAATTTAACTGTGGTTTTCAACAAGGATAATTTTGAGAATTGAATAATAATAATAATAATAAATTTTATTCATCCTGCCAATTTACATGAATTATATAAGATTTAGGTATGAATGAACAAGAATACGCAAAAGCTCTAAACGTGCTCATTAGTGATAAAATAATAAAAAAGAAAGTACATATAATAAAAGATATTGGCTTTATATCGATAAAATTACAATGGAGAAATATAAACTTATTATTACCTATAATTTAATGTTGTAATACATTAGGTTATATAGTAGCGAGTAGTGAATGAGAGGAGAGGTGAAAGAGTATAAAAAGTACTAATCATTCGAGTCGACCAACACGAAATTTTTTCCGGGGTTCTTTGTGTATGAAAGATTTCAGTTCTTTTTTGAAGCGATGTGGATTTATAATCAATTTGATTTCATGTGGAAGAGTGTTGTATAATTTTGGAGCAAGGTATTTACATGAGCGTTGGGATATTAGTTTTTGCATTTGTGGTGTGATATCTTGACTTCGTTGACGTGTATCATATTCATGTGTGGGTAAATAAAATTTTTGTTTTCGGTGGTAATACATATTTATTTTCAGGAAAAAGAGTTGGTAGACATCAAATACATGAGATTCCGCATAGAGAGCATCAGATGGAAAAGTGGGTACTTTTTTTGAGATAATTTTTTAAAACCGTCTCTGGAGGACCTCTATAGGATATAAATGAGTTTTTAGGGCACTACCTCATACTAATGAGCCGTATCGAAGATGGCTCTCAACTAGGGCATAATACAGTGTTCTTACTTGTTTTAGTGTTAGTGAGGATGCCAGGACTTTAAACTTGTGAAGAATGAATAGAGATAGGCATAGAGATTGAATATGAATGTTCCACTTGAGATGCGTTGTGGAATTGGCTGCGGTGGTAGTGCGCCCGACTCATGATCGGAAGACCGTGGGTTCGATTCCTGCCTCGACCAGATATTTTTCTCGAGATAATTTATCTGGTTGAAGTTGGGATAATGCTGCAACCGTGTTAGGAATCACACGTTTAAATGTGAGACCTCGTTATTCCTTAGCTCGCACGAGTTTCTCAACTTCTGAGAGTTGTCGTTCATATGGGGGCGACAGATGATTAACGGAAAAACAGATTTCGAACAGTATCTATATGTACTAAATATTTCGAAGATTTTGTTGATTTGATAACGAACTGTTCTGTTGGAATATTAACTTGAATTTTATCGAAATTAGGGGAAGTTGTCCTATTGCAGCAAAATGGTAGGGAGTGTGTCTTATCAACATTAATTGTGAGTAATTTATGATTCAGTCATTTCCAGATAATATGAAAGTCCGATGCAACTATGTCCCTAAGTTCATCCCACGAATCACCTTTATAAAAAATGGCTGTATCATCAGCGGAACCTGGTATATCTCTCCTAGACTTCAGCAAAAATATTCCGTTAACGTGAATATTGAAGAGAAGTGATCCCAAAATTGTTCCCTGAGGTACTCCATACTGGATAGTGCTGGGATTGCAACAGTTGTCGTCTATCTTCACGAATGGAGAATGTTGGAGATGAGATCTGAATTATTTCAAAGTATTACTTCTGACTCCAATATCTTGTAGGGATTCAAGCAGTAATTGATGACTCACCGTATCGAAGGCCTTGGAAAAGTCCACGAAAATACATAAGCATGGTTTAATTTCCTCCATGGACTCAGATACCTTTAGAATTAATTTCAATATATTATCTTCAGTTGAATTTTGTTTTCTGAATCCGAACTGTTTTTGAGAAAGTAGGTTATATTTCGCAATGTATGAACTGAGGCGTTTTTCAAGAATCTTCTCGAAAACCTTCGTCAAGTGAGTTATTGAAGTCATTGGTTGGTAGTTTGACATATTATTTTTGTCTCCTTTTTATAGATGGGCACCACTACACATTTCTTTTGAAAACTTGTGGCCAAATTCCAACTCTCATGCATTCATTGATTATACAGGGTGTAACTGAATAAGTGTGGAATATTTGAGAAGGTAATTCCTCATCGAAAAAAAAAATTAGGATCTTTCATATGAAGAAACTTCATTGGAGATCCCTTGTTAAGATACGACTCCTTGAAAGGGGTACATACAATTTGTATAACAATTTTTTTCACAAGCACTGAAAAAGTTACAATATTGAAATTAACCTGACGTTTTGTACTACCAAAAACACACCTAGCCAGAAATCTATTTGGTTTACCCCATGGTTATAAGAGGTGGAAAACGCAACCCCAAAAATTTATTTGTAATGCAAATTTTTGTCTTATTATTTGTTCACCATTCAAAAAGTAATTTTTGATAGCCTGGTTCATTCTAAACAAAAAATGTCTCATGGGTTTTTTGCCCAAATAAACCAGTTTGCAGCAAAAAGTTATTTTACAAACAACTACAGAAATACATCGTCATAAATGCGAACTGGATTTATTGTTATTTTGTTGTTGGTACCTGCATTAAACGATCAAAGGGTAATGAACAAAACTAATTTGTTAATAACAGAACACACAACATGTAGAAATCATAGTAAATGTTCAATATGTCTACCGTAATGTCTGAACATTACGCATGCGTCTAGACGTCAGCGCACGTATTTGCTCAAATATTCCTAGAGTATTTCTGATTTCCCTGAACGCATCGATGATGCGGTTTCTTCCTCTACATCGTGAACAGGAGTACGATAAACCAAATGCTGTAAATGGCCCAAAATAGAGAAATCGAGAGGATTGAGATCCAGGGATCGAGCCAGTTCCGTGGTCCTCCGCGACCTATCCACTGATTTGCATATGCTTCAGTTAAATGCTGACGTGCTACTTGACTAAAATGGGCGGGAGCTCCATCATGCATAAAAAACATATCCCTTTTGACGCCCAAAGCAACTTCTTCCAGCAGTACTGGATGCACTTCTCTTGAGAATTGAACGTATGCCTCACCATTTATTCGAGGAGGTAGAAAATCAGGCCCAATTGAATCATCCCCAATATAGTTTCGACAATAGCGTGAGGGTTTCCATCAGCTCATATATGGTAATTATGAAAATTAATAATCTTGTCCCAAGAAAAACTACATTCGTCTGTGAATTGTATCGTCATCAGGAAGTCACAATTTCTTCTTATCATTTCCAGCATCCAATTGCAAAATTCAAGACGGTTCGAAAAGTCTCGCGGTAACAGTGCCTGTACTCGTTGCAGATGGTGAGGATATAAGAGTTGTTCCTTTAAAATTCGAAATACCGTCATATGATCAACATTCACCTGGAATCTTTTTAATCTTTTCAGTACTGGTAGTAGGTTGTTCTTCAATCAAATTAAGTAGTGCTTCCTCAAGCTGTGGTGTTCGTACTTCTCGATGACGACCACAATCCTGCGTACTTTCGTCGAATGAACCATATTCTCGTAAGCGTTGATGAAGTCGAGCGAATATTCTATGTGAAGAATGCTGTCGTTGAGGATACATTTCAGCATATCTTCTAGAAGAAGTGAATCAATAAAGTAACAAATTAAGAACAGAACAACAACACACAATTAGTATTATTTCAATTTCAAAAATTCACAAACTGACAGCGTGATATCAACTTAATAATTGTCACTATCACTAATAGCGATCTACTAGATAGATTAGTTTCGTATTTTCGCATTTATGACGATGTATCTCTGTAGGTGTTCCTAAAATAATTTTTTGCTGCAAAGTGATTCATTTTGGGCAAAAAACCCAAGAGATATTATTTGTTTAGAATGAAACAGGCTATCGGAAATGAATTTTCAAATGGTAAACAAATAATAACACAAAAAGTTACATTGGAAATACATTTTAAAGGTTGCGTTTTCCACCTCTTACAACCATAGGGTGAACCAAATGAATTTATGGTGAAGTGTCTTTTTGGTAGTACAAAACGTCAGGTTGTTTTCAAAATTGTAACTTCCTTAGTGCTTGTGAAAAGATTCTTATACAATTTTTATGTACCCCCTTTAAGGGGCTGTATCTTAACAAGGGATGCTCCAATGACATTTCTCTATATGAAAGATCCTATCTTTTTTTCGATGAGGAATCGCTTCCTTGAATGTTTCACACTTATTCAGTTACACCCTGTTTAGGTCAGTGGTTCAATGGTATGCTATCTACCCCAGGAGACTTGTTCGGTTTGAGCTCATCGATGACACTTTCCATTTCAGATGCATCCGAATTGGACCAATAATGGAACTTTCATTGAATACTAATCTGATAATAAAAAAAAATCATATATTGAAGATTCGGGATGAAAGTAGTTATTTCAACACAAACTATTGTGTGCACAAATATTGTAAACTTCCTCCGTGGAAGATCACTGTGACGAAGCTATTTCATGGATTTGTTAACCATTGTCAGTATGTTTCAGTCTCTCAAGTTTCGTTTACAACCGAGGTAGACATCATCATCATCAAAGGCAACCGGGCAGCAATCAACAAATCCGAAAATAGCTTTGATAGGTACACTTTTGTGAGCACATAAAATTATTCGGAAAATATTCTTCTGTCTCTCCTCAATGCTTATGTTATCACTCACCTCGTACCAGGACACTGATTGTATGCATTCCAAACAATATCGGCGGTACTTTGACGTCTCAGGATATATGGCAGAAGTTCTCCAAACAATAAAGGGGGTTTTCCTTGTGGAACTCCTTTTCGTCTCCAGTAACCGTGAGGCCAAATTATATAGTGATAAAATGCACCTGATATCAGTACAATCAATAAAATGAGTTCCAGCATCATAGATTTAGAAATTTGGTACTGAAATAAAAACATCCATTTGAGGTGACTCCCAAATCGATCAGTGTAAAGGAGTTGAAAGATGTGAAAGTTTTTTGTGAAGAACTTCAATCCACTTTTATGTAATGAACTATGAAAAAATTTGCAACATAAATCAGACAAATCAGAAATCTGAAAATGGAGAAAATTCACATAAAATGCGGTCATTCCATTAGTTCTAGCTGATATGTTCCAGTGTCACTGTTTTTTGAGTTTGAAAGCCTTGGATTTTGGGAGTTTCTCCCTGACTTTTCGCTGGCACAAGTAGCTAGCTTCTTCAGAGGTTTTACCATCATGGTAAAACTGCACGATGACTAACTTTCAGGCTTCGTAAAGCGTATTTATGCCTTGTCGGGCACTTGTACCTGTACTTGAGCCGGGAACATTAACAAGTACAGGTACAAGTGCAGGTACAAGTACAAGTACAAATACAGGTACCAATACATAACAAGGCATAAATACGTATTACGTGGCCTAAAAACTAGTCATCGGAAAGCTAGCCATGATGGTTAAACATTTGAAGAAGCTAGCCACTCGCGCCAGCGAAACGACAGGAAGAAATTCACGGCTTTCAAACTCCAAAAAGAGTGACACTGAAAACCTCAGCCGCGAAAGTCCAAACCATATTGTGATATGTTCCAATCAGCTAGAATATGTTACTTTCGTAGATAACCTGGACCCTTCGAATACGATCTGATATTATAAAGATTGGGGAACAGAATTGAAAAGAAATCATAGTTCACTGAATAACACCCTGTAATGATAAATTAAAATATTGGGAATGAAAACTGTGGGTTTTTGCGAAGGCAGTTTTTCACGGAAAGTGGTGTCAGTTCTGAAAGAACCACCTCTTTTGTTTATGAACTCACATATATTTCACTGTCACTTTGCGAATATTCGTTAGCGTAAACCATATTTGGATATCCCAAATGAAATCTGCAAAGCAATATATCAAAACTATCGAGTAGGAGTGCAATTTTACTGTATGATATAGTCGGAGTGAACTATATTGTGGACATTCAAAGTTGGCGGCACTCTCAAAGGCAAAAAAAACTAACTACTAACCGGGTTTTATGATTCATTGAATTTAGATCATGTTACGGTGATGAATGAAAATCTGGGAATGAGGCAATGGTTATTGCCGTCGTGTTCAGTTCAGGAACTGAATGATTTTAGTGTTGAAATTCAATATTGGTGCACTTATGAATACTTAAAATGTTTGTTATCTGTTCAAAATGTGGTGTTCTTGGACGAGTATTAATAGTAATAACGAGTGTGATAACAACGCAGACTTTTTCCAGTGTATTGATTCCAATAGCAATGGTGAACAATGCGACTACCAGTGAAAAAGATTCGGATGCATTTGAACATTGAAACACAGAGAGTATGTTTCAATGTATATAAGAAATTTTGTTTCGAGAAAAACAAACTATCACAAGCGACATCAGATTTGACCGATATTTCATTCTCAACTGTACGTACAATAGTCAAAAACAAACCTTATGAACGTAAGACGCAATGTGATACAAGATTACCAAAACCTTTAGATGTTCATCTGATAAAATCATTTAGAAAAACAATATATGACTGTTACAAAACCAATGAAATTACTACAACTGAAATCATAAGAAAGAAATTGAATACTTCTGGCCCAAACATGAGCTGCTGTGACAAAACTCTTAAGGAATTGGATAAAGAAACAAGGATTTAGTTTTAGAATAACGTTTTAAAAAAACGTCAAGCAGTCATGATAAGCAGAAGAATACTGGATTTGCCTATCAAATACTCATAATGAATAACTGAATATAGACAAGAATCATGGCAAACTTTTTATTTGGACGAAACTTGGGATGACACGACACAGTTACGAAAGGGTGGACTGATGGTTCGAGAATGTGTATGCCTAACATATCTGCAAACAATGGATCGCGACGAATGATTGGTCATTGCAGATGAAGTAAAGGATGGGTTTCGAATTCTTTGAAATAATGTGAGAAAAACTTGAGGACTGCGAAGTTGACTATCATAAGAGCATACTCGTGAATATGTGTGCCTCAATTTTTTTTTCGAAATATGGTACCTACCGAAATATCTAAGTGAATTTAATGTATGAAAATTATTGGCTGTAATAAAACAAATTGGATGATAAAAACAAAAAATTATTGTATTCATCCAGTTCAATATGTGCCATATTTCAGAAATTCTTGCATACCTATCTCATCTCATAAATACTCTCTGACCGGTTTTATCGAATTTGAAGTCGATTTTTTTCACTTTAAAAGGCAATGTACTGAGTGGGCCAAATTGGACACTTTTAAATGGAAACTCCTGCTTTCCAACTTGATATGTGCATTTTGTAAAATTTGCTGTACCTTTTTTCATGTCGAAAATGTCCTGATTCTATGGAAACATTTCTGAAGCACTTTTTTACGTGGTTTAAAAAACTTATTTTTTCAAATGAGATATCAACAGTTATTGATGGAAAACTTTTCAATGAGACATCCTGTATATCCCTACATATTTCAATATAAAATGGAGCACATTTGATACTTTGCTTCGAAATACAGAGTTTTTAGGTTTTTTTCACATAGAGTTTGAAACGCACACTTTGATCAAGAAGTTATTGTACAAATGCAGCGATAAAACAGATAGAAATGGTTCAGTGTTGAGAATGTTTTCACAGCAGTTATTAAAATGCATAGTTTCAATGAACTGATAACAATTTATACTATATTTACTACTGATAAATAGAACTTCAAAAATAATAATAATAATACTAATAATGATAAAGAACAAACAATGATATTTATTTTTTCAGAAGAGGTGTTAGAAATGTCTATCAGCTTCTCCTACATACAGGCGACACCTTTTCTGAAGGTTTTTTGCTGAATTATATAGGGTGTCTCATTTGGAAAAAAAAATAGTTTTCCATCAATAATTATTGAGTATAACATTGAGTTTGTCATAAGATTTGATTCCCAGACACAATCATCAATTATTGTCATTTATCTAGTTTGAAAACCGGAGTTTCTCTTTGAAAGTGTCCAATTTGGCCCGCTCTGTACACAATTGAACTACATAAATTAGGGTGTGGTAAGATGGTTTCATATACGTATATCCTTTTGAATTGCCTCAAACAATTTTTGCGATAAGTGAGACTGATTGACTTGATAATAGAATAAATTTTTTAAAAAGATTAGTTTTATTTCATTTCACCGCCCATTTTCCAACCTCATTCTTATATTTGATCAATAATATTTGTTATCTTTTTACAGAAATCAATACTTGCATTATTATAATTCAAGCTTTCTGTGGAATACCCAGTACCTATCTATTGACAGTTCTGTCTTTCAATTTTTCAGGACAGCATTTCGTACTGACATATAGTGAAAATAAATAATGATGTGAATACTTACCCCAGAAAAAAGTTGAATATATGAGTCAAATCACTGAACGTCTAGACACAAGTGATAATTTGTACTTTATATAGATATGCTGCATCGATATGGGTATTCCACCGATAAAATAAACATCAAATTACGGCATGTGTATGAACAGAACCGGCTTGAAGAAATTACTTTTTATTGCTAAACTCTTACGCAAGGGTATTGACCTTCAGTGTGATATACATATCTTTGTTTTGGTTGAAATTTTCCCGACTAGCCAACTGATCAAGTCATACAACTTTCTGATGTACTCGTTTCAATTAGACAAAAGTGAGACAAACATTCTCGTTTGTGTTTTTGTTATACCTTTACGTGTTCAATATAATATTGAAATAAAGCTGAAATAATGTTGCCACGTATAAGAATATGTTGATACGTTTCAATTTGAAGTGGATTGGGGAATACTTCATCTGTTGTGAACGTTGAAGCGAAGTATACTAACCGACTCTGTTTGAGGTGCCGGTACAATCGAAGCAATGCTTTTTTGCTGAAAACTCTGAAGCAGTGACATTTTCGAATCTGAAACTTGGCATATACTTTGAAAAATAAATTGGAGTGAATCATGAAATTATTTATAACACATTTTTGCAAAATATTGTTTTTACCATTTCAATTTGGCTTTTTTATATAAAAAAAATACCAGGAATTGGTCACAGAAACGCAGAATATGTATTATTCATGGGAATTTATTGTATCCTTCCAAAGTAGGCTCCATCTTATCAATCAGAAAAATGTTTTAACGCTTTTTTTGAAACCGACTTCGGCACTGCGAATTCTCTTTTCTATCCTCTATCGACTGAAGATGGATGCCTAGAAGTGGTAATTTGAATTTTGAAAAAAAAATCGGCCGGAGTCATATCAGGTGAATACGGTGGCTATTAAATTGGGTTTGTTGAGCTTTGACCAGGAATTCGTTCACAATGATAGCTTTGTGAGATCGTGCGTTATCGTAGTTCAAAATCCATGGGTTTTCTTCACACACAACTAGTAGTCTATTTCTAAGACTGTCCTCTCTAAAACACCGTATAACGCTTAGAAAATAATCATTATGCAAATTTGACATTTTGTATTATGACTTTCAACCCTGAAACTTATAAATGAAAACACATATTGAATCGGTCTTAAACACTTGTAAAATTACATTAATCCTAGGACATATCCAATGGACTGCTGCAAACTGTGTAGAGGTATATCTATGAAAATATTTTATTAAATAAATGGCATGTTACAAGTTCATCAACATGAATCAACACAGGGGAGTTACATCCTGATCACATTGCCTTGCAAATAGACTAAAAATCAATTGAGTGAAAAATGAAACGTTAAAATGTCACGTAATAGAGTCACGTAATGTCACGTAATAGAGTATAATAGCAAAAAGGTCATGAAAAATAGTTCGAACTTCTGGTAAGATCAAGTCTCCACATATTTCGATGTGAAATATCCACAGCCGCACTTAAAACCAAATGGTGGCGTGGCGACGCATACTGTGGCAACAGGTCGCCATGCGCAAGCGACTGTACGATTGTCTTCCCACTGTTTCGAAATTAAGCTGTCTCTTTCACCACACTGAGATCGGATACCTACAGTGTATACAGTTGCGTTTATTACAGTATACATAAACTGTGTATTACTGAATAAATAATTGAAAAAAATAAATGAAAACATAATATGTCATCAGTAAGTTATTTTTAATTTTATATTTTACAATGTAAAATATGTACATTGAGCTCGTCTGTCTCAAGGATATGGTAATATAAAATCTACTAGAATAAAATTTACACAATTTTCACAGCATATATTTTTAAACTCAATTATTATTCAATTTTAATTTCATTCTTATGACAAATGATGTACAAGAACACTTGCTTGAAGAATATATTTCATAAGACAAAATTGTACCTTGTTTCGAAGATACGGAGCGAAAAAGAATTTCGACAATAACAACAATTTATTACCAAAAATAACATGTATTTGTTTCTCAATCTACAAGAACTGTTGAAAATGACAATCCCCCCACTCGGATGCAAGAATCCAATCTCCTCCTCATCGACTCCTGAAGTTTTTCAAAAACACCAGGATCGTTTTTGATTTCGTTACACCCAGCAAATTGAATGTCTGCAGCCGTTTGATGTAATCGGAATATTGTTGAAAGGTAACAACAGAATTGATATATTTCTCATTACTTGGTAGGTCCAGGGTAGTACGCTATACTTTTATTTCGACTACGTTAATAATTTCCTCTCTCTTGAATTCACACAGCGATTTGAATGAAATACTCGTCTTGGAATATTAAACATCTTCCTCTGGAAGATGATCACTTGGTGATTGAAACACGTGTCGAGGTGTTGAAAATAACGGTTTGGTGTTGGAATTAAACTCAACTTCAGTAATATTCAGTTCTTATTATGCATGGGACCATTGAAGGACAGGTAGTTTGATGTACGTTAGGTACTGTTTGTTATAATCCCCCTAACAAGGGAGTAACTGAAAAAAGCGTATTCAGTTAGGTCTGATTCATAGCAGAATTGTTTATATTTATCTAAGACATATTGCGTGTTTGTTTTGAGTAGCCGTATATCTGGCTGATTAAGTAATCGACCCGTCCAATTTTACTTTATGAGGTGAGATGCATTCAAAAATAGGCTCGTCGGTGGTCAGACGTGGATGCTTTGTTCACTCACTTGAATTGACTGGCGTGTTGGTCGGTGGTTCAAGCCCCAGTCTGAACGATCGATTTATCTTGCTATCGTCCAATCCATGTTAGGAATAACACGTCAAAAGTTAAGACCTCGTTAATCCTCAGCTCGTACAAGTTTCGACTTCTGAGAGTTGTTCGTAGGGGTGCGACAGCTGGTTAGCAAAAAAACAGATTTAAAACAGATTTTCAACAGGAAACATTCTTCACCCATTTGTAGGATCTTTATAAGCCAGGTTGATGAATGTTTTAAGCCGCGAATGATAGGTTCATTATGCCTGTTTCGATCCGGACACAGAAATCTGAAATATTCTGCTGAAGTCTGAGCAGCCGCTTGAAGAATCCGACTTTGACCCTCTCGATTATATCGGCATGGAAAGGGGACAATCCAATACCTTTTCACAACAGGGTTATTTCTAAGTATTACTCAATTGAAACTAATTAATTACGATTGTCACTATAAAAGGTTTCACAAAAATTACTACACGTGTCTTGCTATACAATAGCTTTCTCAAGCATAAACTATAGGAAAAATATAAAACTGAAAAAATATATAATGGAGTAATACAAATAATGAAATAATTAAACAACAAAAAAATTGCCGCTCCGGGGCGACTCCATTGATTCCAGTGGCGCATTTGCTTTTTCAGCTGCAGGAAAACCCGGAAAAACCTGCAGCACAACAACATCTGAAGATCTTGATCTGCCAATGTTCCTCTTCAATTAAACAAAATGTAAAGTGTCCCCAGAGACTCCAATAAATTTTACACATTGCCACAACACTTAGTGACACGACTATCGTCAAACTAAAACCAGTCCGTTTCGTCTTTGACCAATGCGTAATAATCACCAGATTCAACATGAGAACCACAGTGGAAATTATTCAAAATGACTATTGATTAATGTTTGTGTGAGCATTACGTCTGAGCATCTTTTGCTGGATTAGCAAAATCTGATATGTAGTTGGATATTGCCAACCTTAAATAATCCAATGTATGAGCGTCTGACAAGCGAGAACGTTTTTTATTTTTTGTCTGTTTCGAGTAGGAAAATGCTGACTCCCATAAATATATTGAACCAAAACACGAATGCAGTTGTTCAAGACATTTCTTCAACTTCAACCAATGTCCAGGAATCTAGACCTGAAGATGACCTTGCTTTTAGAATATGTCGCAACACTGAGTAATAATTCAATTTTGAAATATCATGTGGTCCATTTGAAATATATCTGTAAATGTTGTAGCCATTTCATAGATATCACTATGATCAATAGAATTATTGAACGAGTAACTCATGAATCAGACCAACTTCTAGATTTCTTTTGGATCACTGAAGTGAATTTGGAATTCTTATACCACTGCCTTAATTTAAGAATGAAATTGTAGGTATTATTTTTTTGCATATGATTCCTCATGTTTACAAATTATTGAAATGATTTCTTCACGATGTCAACTATTATAGAAGATGCTTGACTTTAAAATGTATAATATACACATGTATATGCATATACATACACATATGTTGATTTTCCACAAATATTTAAATTTATTAAGGGTTTTCATCGAAAAATAAACTGATTGAATAGATTTTTTTATTTTTATTTATTATTTCCATTATCGAGTGGATCAGTAATTACTGTGGTTAATTGCAAGACCGAGATAGTAGGCTCATGGTATGAGAAATGAGATACATATGTTTTCCAATGGAAATGAGAAAGAATCTAGAGAAAACTGCATCGATTATTGATCTATTTATCGTGATGAATTTATGTAAAACTTCGCCTTAGGAATATTCTCCGTATATTATTATTTAGTTCAAACATTATCAGTTATTAAATAAACAAAAGTTTTGTCTTTTTTGATATCATGTGCTTTTGAAGCACGATATCTCAATGAATATTCATTCGACTGTGTTGTGGTGTATACGGATAGAAAGAGAATTTTGTTCTCTATACACTGATGTAAATTTTTTTCGAAACTTTTATTTCTTGACTCTTCAAATTATCACTATATTATGTCGTTGAGCAATTTCCGGACGATTCTCATCTACCAATTCAAATTGAACAAAGGAGCTACGTCACGCTGAAACCCGCTTTGAAAAAAATCTACCCTTTTTTAGCCTACTCTACCTACAAACGAGACTAATGAATGTAGTAATGTTAATTGCTTTGCAGTCTTATCGGTTATTGAGAAAGCTCTATTAATATTATTCAAACTACGAAATACAAGTGATAATGCGCTTAAAAGTTTTGAAAAAGGTTCTTAATTGATTTAAGTTTATTGTAGTAACAACACAATATCAATTTATTTTATAATTTTTTGAAGTATAGCAAAAAAACTACGATAACAAGACTTCAAATCATAAAATAACAATTGTCCTCA